AAGGAAGATAATGGAACTGACTAGGGGAATATATGGACTTTAATATAAATATTTAATTTCTATTAAGAATAGGGGATAAATGGGGAAAAGGCTAATGTGTGAGGTTCTAGTGTCAAGTATAATTCTTGGATTTTTCTGCATTGAGAATATAGTTCTTGACCTTCTAAAATCAAATAATTCTGTGGTGAAAATAAACTAGACTAAAATTCATAAAATATAAGCCCTCATGTAACCTTGGATAGATCTCCTAACCAAGAGGAATTCAAGTTGTCTGATCTTCTAAATGGGGACACCGAAAAAACTAAAGGCAGTGGTATGTATCGAGACTAAAGAAAAATGCTATCTAGGGCATAAATCATGTACAATGCAAAAGTGTAGTTCTGAGCTGAAAAACACATTTTATTGAAAATATGAATCTTAGTAAACAAAGTTATTATCTTGCAAAACCCATCTGTAACAAAAAAAAAGATATTTAGAGGTGTAATAACTGTGGTTGGTCCTGATTCATGCACATTTCTTTCTTTTTTTTTTTTTTTCATATACAGATTTCTTTTTGGTTTCCTTGAGCCATTTCCTTCCATAGACAAGTTGAGGGCAAAGCTCATCTACCTCTTAAAAGGCTGAGAAATAGCTCGTTCTACACATTATGGGGTGTAACATCTTAATGACATCATCTGTCAAAAGGCTGTTTGCCCATTAAAATCTCTCTAGCATGAATCTCTTAATCTAGTAAGTTCCACAGAGGTCTAAGTCCTGGGTCTAGAGAGCAAGCTCAGGTGTGCAGCGGTGGGGGAGTGTATCATGCATAGCCACAGTTTTCTATAGACCAGTTTAAAACAAGCCCTCTGGCAACAGTGACAATTTTCACCATCTCTTAAAATGGATAAAGTCTCGCACCAAAGATCTCACTGGATCTGAAATGCCTGACTGCCATTCTTCTGGGTTTGTTTATTTATTTTGTTAAAACAGGGGCCTCAATTTGAATTTTAAACCTCATTTAAGAACTACAACAGTGAAGAATTTTTATACACATCTACATATGTGAATCTAGTTCTTCATTATATATTGCAAAGGATAAAAAATGAAAGGAAAAAGATAGATTATGTATCTTCATTTCAGATATATAATGAAGAATTATGGCTGGTTGGAGAATGACATAATGGCAGTGCTTTGCATATAGATATCTCTACGTATCTCTGATGAAAACAAAGCTTATCCAGTTCTTTTGTCTATTTCAGATGATCCTTAACTTTTTGTTCTGCCCTTTTCAGCAAATCCTGTACTTCTAAATCTAAGGTTGTTAAAGGAAGAAACATGAAACCAAAATCTTCTTGCCATTTCCAGGTCCATTCTCATAAGCACTCATTAGGTAAAGCCAGGCAGTACAGAAACTCAGTGGAAAAGGTTAGAGTCTAAGGTTAGACCAGAAGGACCAGAACAACATCACACTCTACTGGAAATTACAATTTACTTAATCTGTCTCTCCCTGTTTCTATCTCCTTACAATGGGATTACAACAGTATTTTTCTCATGGAGTTTTATTAAATGCAATGCTATATATAAAGTGGCCAATAAAACTAAATGTTAGTAATAATTAATTCAATTCATCATATTGTCATTATCATAATTGCCAAGCTTGCTGAAAGGTGCTAAGAATTAAGTGCAGAGCTCTTGTCATTAAAAGGAAACAGATATTGAAACAAATAAATACAGAAAGGGGGTCCCTACTGAGGTGAGGAGACGACTCAGTTGCCTGAGGGTCTGAAGATGATGTGGAAGCGCCGTGTTTCCCTTGCTGCCACATCACTGTATGGTTATGGTAAGAGGCCAAGAAAAATCAATGTTTTAAAAGAAGAGCACTTAATTGAGGCATCAGAATTCCTGTTTCTAGAGTCCAGGGATTCTACATACCAAACTGTAATGACCTCTTGCTGAGATCACGGAGGCAGAGGCCACTGCAAAGATGCTTTAGTGCCAGCTGACACCCAAGGTGTCACTGGCATCTGAACACAAGGCTCTGAGCTAACTGAAGCCAAGTCCAAACTAATAGCACAAGGAAAAGGACTGCAGATGCTTCCAAACAGGTCCTGAGAGGTGCACGTGCTCTGCCTACCCAGGGACACCCAGGAGAAGAAGGGATCCATCCTCCAGCCCAGCACTAAGGACCTCAGGGCCCCTGCCATGTTCTCACCCCCATTTCTGCTGCTCACCAGAGACAGGGAAATCTCTCTTCCTGAGATAGCCCTCTGTGTGCAAGCAGAAACCACTCTCTGCCACAGGGCTTCTCCACGCCCTGACCCCATGTTTGGATGTGAGAGTTTTTACCCCTCCAAACCAGAGGGAATTTAGGCTGCTGTCCCACTTACTAAACTTCTCCCTAGGAGTAGTCAGGATGTGCTGGTATTCTAGGCATTCCCAAACTCTTTTCCTGTGCTAATCAATTTTATTTTTTTACACTAAGGATAAGTTAGGCTTTAATGGAACAAATATATATAATATTTAACTTATATAGATAGATTTTATAATGTATACAAAAGCTATATATAATAATTCCTAATCTCTAAATTTATAATGTTTTTATATAATCATATGTATAGATTATATATCTATATATAGTTTTCACTATTTCCTCACTTCATACTATATGAAGAGGACTTTTTTTAAAAGAAAATCTTTTTCTTATTGGTATAGCATTTATTTCAGAGAAATTCAAAATAGATCTGTGTCACTAAAGGTAAGCATCCAGTGTCTCATCTCCTGACCTCTGGATGATAACACAGAGATGTTTCTTGCTAAGGGAGAAGTTAATCACAGTGGTTGCCATGATGTGTGGGCACATATGAGGCTCTGTAGGGCAGACTGCTAATGTCTGAGGAGGCATGACATGCACGGATGGCCAAGAGAGGAGAAAGGAAGCCTCCTCATGTCAGGGTAGCCAGCAAGAAAAGAGAAGAGCATCCAGCATCTGAATCAGTAGTAGGCTTATTTAGGGAACAAGCATCTACCTGCTGAAACTTTTTCCTAATGCTTAATAGTTTCTGTAAGAATTGGTACTGTAGGGGCTGGGATTGTGGCTCAGCAGTAGAGTGCTCGCCTCGCACGAGCAGGACCTGGGTTCGATTCTCAGAACCACATAAAAATAAAGACATTGTGTTGTGTCCATCTACCAAAAAAAAAAAAAAAAAAATATTCTCTCTCTCTCTTGAAAAAAAAAAAAAGAAAGAATTGTTACTGTACATCAAGTCGAAACTCAATAAATGGTATTTCAGTTTCTTTCCACTCTAATTTCTAAGTTAGCATAATTCAGTTTCTATAACGTTAATACATATTTATTAGAAAATCCAACAAAACTTCCAGTTGAAATATGAAGAGTGTAATTTCCACCTATGAGAACTACAGTTGAAACTACTTTTGTTCTATAACTCAATAAACATCAGTTTCCCAAAGCAATGGAGGGAGAAACACATCCTACAGTAGATCATTAGTGTCATAGGACTGGCTCCTTGGAACTAGAGCTTGCTGATTTAAGGAAACATTAAGGAATTGAAAGATGGCATCAGGAAATGAAAAAAAGTCCTATACAAGCCAACTGGGCCATTCAATATATACAATGGAGCTTTTTTGTTTTTTGAAATGTACCAAAAATTGCCATAAAAACTGAGATCTGGAGATATTTGAGAATGAGAGGGAATGGTGCTGTATGTGCTTCGGGAGTTGCCATCTCCTTCCTCCCCAACCCACACAGGCCCTGCTCTGCTCCCCCTCGTGGTTCTCTCCCACTGTTCACTCGGTACTGGACCAGGAACCAGCACTTCCTAAGCAACACTTGTGATGGCTCCCAAATGCGTCAGTCAGCCAATTGGATAAAGTCCAGAGAAAATGTCTTCTCTGCAGGATTTTTCTCTAACCTTTATTAAGCAATATCCTCTGCACAAGCTCCATAAGGCTGTGGCGCAAGGCTGGGGTCGTGTCAGAATGTCAAATTGAACGGATCAGTGACTGGAGGTGGAAATGGCTACCTCTCCACGAAGTAAGGAAAAATAATAATAAAAACAAACAATGGTAATGATAGTGGCTGCCAACTGGGGACCAGCGTCTGTCATGAGTCAGCAGCAAACTATGATCCCATTCCTTCTGACAGTGGTTTTTAGAAAATTAGTAATATTAGATCCTTAAGAAATATCTGACAAATGCTGAAACTAAAGGTTATTCAAATGACAATGATGTGGGGGTAGGAGGAGGGCTATCCCAGAAAAAAATTAATTGAGAAAACTATTTCTAAAACTAAGAACACTTTCAATTATTAGGTTCAGAATTCCTAAATTCTACAAAACAAACCAACCAACAAACAAAAAACCCCTAAAGCTGTCCCACTATATTATGTCTGTTCTTGTACAAAAAATAAAAATCAGCTTATAAGAGACCAGCAGGTCAAAATGTCATTGTGACATACACAGAAACAATATACTCATTTTAAAAATATATCTGTCTTTGTATCCATCTTGGTCTTGCTGTTTTCTTTAATTTCCATTTTTGGAAATAACATCTTGTATTTCATACATGCTTATAAACTACCTTAAAATACTCTCAGAAGGAAGGGAGAATAAAAATAGAATAAACACACTAACAAATTTGTAGCAAAGGATTCAAATTAAAGGAAGGGCTTCCAGTCACAGAGACATTTTCGGAAGTGTTTTTCTAGAACTGGAGCCAGGCTTAGGAATCTTCACTAGGAGAGCTGGGAACTCTGAAGCATCTTCCTGAGCTAGGACCATATGAAATGTACTTGTTTATTTGCCAAATGACTTGCATATTGTATTTCTTCATCAACAGAAAGGTTATAACCAAGAGGAATTGGGGATGGGGATGACACGGTTCAAACAGCTTAAGCATGCAAATCTGCTTCTGTGCTCGTTTTCAAAGATGTGTTGCAAAAACCAGGCCACTGCCTACGAGCCAGAGCTGGGTTTTCATCACACGATGGCCCAGGGCCTACTCACCATGCGTGCCCGAAACAATGCAGGAATGAAGGACTGGTTAGCTAGGGTGAGAATTCTGGAAGAGTCCTTTAGGACGTAGATATTGCCAAAATCAACTTGAGTGGGGTGCACGTAGATCACAGGGCCTTCCCCGATACTCTTTGTATGACATACCTGTGTTCATGTGAGAGAAAGAACAGGGCCAGCTCAAACGGCTAGCTTTAAAAATCAGTGCCAGCGGAAGCTCACAGCTGCCCTTTCTATAAAATGGAGAGCATAATAAGGTGCTAGTGGGAGCTGACATCCTACTGGCCACAGGGATGGTCATGCTGGGACCTGTGGGTCCCAGCCCAGAATTCCTATGCACTGAGGGGAAACCAGAATCTTGGGCCTCTAAGACCCATGCAGCACTCCAGCCTCAAAAACACTTAGCATGGGGCTCAGGGATGGCTCTTTAGAGCTAGGGGTGGCTCCAATTGAGTCCAGTTCTGTCACATCAGTAGCAGAGTGACAGGGAAGGGCCACTGCGCACAGCTGTGCAGGTTAGTGGCTGAAATCCACTTGTACTATGTCTGCCAGAGAAGGCGTGCCTTTTTCTTTCATAAAGCACTGGCTGCCCTCTCATGAGCTGCATCTGTGCAGGGGTGGGGTGTCCCAGGGAGCCCAGCAGGGGACGTAGACTGGTGTTTTGGGAGTGGCTGCCTTTGCAATGCCATTTCATGACTCAGGTTGCTTTCAGCATCTTATATGGAAGAGATAAAAGCAAAATCCTACCTTATTATACTCTCGAAGCAATCAGAACCACTTCAAGCAAATGTAAGCTGACATTGCCCAGCACCCACGTACTCCAAATGCCTGGGGACACACAGCCTGAGCAACTTTCTTCAAGATTTATCCTTCAGTTCAGCCCAAGCAGCAGAGAGATTCCCATGTCTCCCTCTTACCTCCCCTGGAGACACAATGCTTATTTCTTTTTTGTACTGGGGTTTGAACCCAAGGGAGCTTTACCACTAAACTGAGCTATGTCTCCAGTCCTTTTTTTCCCTCCAGTTCTTTTAAATTTATGTATTTGTTTGTTTGTTTTTATTTATTTTGATACAGGGTCTGAGACTGGTCTTGAATTTGCGATCTTCCTGCCTCAGCCTGCTGAGTTGCTGGGATTACAGGCATGTGCCACTGTGCCTGGTAAGACTACTTCATCTCTTAACAGCTTCAGTAGGTTGATCTGGGCTACGGTTCATACGGTCAATATATAGAAAAAGATCTGGTGAGCAGTGAATGAAACTGATCTCTCAGCTCACGTGTGACAAACTCGTAAGGCTAGAACTCAGCTTTTCACCAGGAACAACCAAGGAGCTTGTTAAATACACAGATTTGCTGGCCCAGAGCAGGGTCATATGTGTATGTGTGCATATTATGTAAAACTTCAGGAGCTTAAAAACAACTGCTATGAAACACTACTGCTTTGGGTGTGGTAAGAGGTGTGGGATACAGGGGGTTAAACCCAGGATACTTTACACTGAGCTACATCCCCAGTCCCTTTTTTTTTTTTGAGACAGGGTCTCACTAAGTGGCTGAGGGTCTTGCCAAGATGCTGAGGCTGTCCTTGAATTTGCAATGCTTCTTCCTCAGCCTCCTGAGTCACGGGGATTACAGGCATGCACCATCACACCCAGCGAACACTGCTTCTTTTTGATGCATCTAAGTAACACTGCTTCTTCTTTTTTTTTTTCATATTTCATATAACATTTTTTTTAACACTGCTTCTTTTTGATGCATCTAAGTAACGCCATGTTTGTGTTGTACCATTGTGGAGTGAAAACGTAAAACTCTAACTACAAATGCCTAGAGGGTATGCAAATGTGGTGTGAGCCCTAAATAAAGAAGCTTGAAATGTTTGACAAGAAGCACAGGAATGATAATTTTGGTTTTGAAAATTGGTGCTCACCATAGGAGGGTTCAGGCTCCCAAAGACAGAGATGTAGACTGTGGACCTGTGTTCTCCGGTGACCTGGGTCCTCAGGCCCAAAGGCAAGTGCACAGTGCTGTGGGGGGGGATGATCCCATAGGGGGTGGGGCTGCAAAGCAGCACAGGAGGCTGGTCCTCACACACCTGGGGAGACAAGCCAGGGAGATAAGCAAGCCACGCAGGACGTGGAACAAAGAGCATAACAATTTATTTTGAAACAAATGTTGTCCTGAGTCTATGGAGGTTCTTTAGAAATGTCTCATTGCTCAGGCAAGTCAATGGGCACAAGCACCCCAAACAGGCCAAAAGGAAGTTTGGCTGAGTGCAGTGTGAATACGGCCCCAAATCCAAAGTGTCCAGCACAGGGAGATGCAGAAACCATCCACAATGTGGATGAGCTCAGGACAGCGGCCTTCCATGGCCAAGTCCTTAACCTGGCTCCCTAGGCTTTCCTGCTTCATCCCCCCACCTTTCCCAGCTGCATTCCAGTGGTTGAGGCCACACCTCTGGCACTTCCTGAACACATGATGCTGCTTCCCTCCTCTAACCCTTTGACCTATCTGGCATACTCTTCTTGAATTTCCCCAGGTGCCCCCCACACTCAAGGGTGGGAGTGCTTCCAGGGAGCATCCTATAAAGTCCTTTTCCACAGCCTACACTGGACAGCAGTCATCATCTGCACATCCATTTTCTTCCTGGGCTAGAGACCTCTTAGTGCAGGCCTGGGCCCTGACCTCTCTGCCTCGCTACTTTCTGACCCCAAGTATATACTCAGCATGTGTTTTTAAAATGAGGAATGAATAACTGTCACCCAATATTCACCCATATGCATTCCTTACAGCCCTTTTTAACAGCAAGTACTAGCTTGTATGTAACAAGAAAGCTCTAAAAATCCTACAGTCAGGCAAGTTTGAGTGATTCTGAGAAACACTTCTGAGGGCTTCAGCTCCCTGGGAGAGGGGGCACAGTTTCATCTTCTGAAGCTTCCCATAGTCCTTCTGCCTCTGGTCTGGCCTAGCACAGCCTAATCACAGCCCACCTCCCTGTGTAGCTGTCCTCTGCTAAGCCCCACTGATCCCAGGGCAAAAGGCAAATTCAGCAATACTGGTCCAAATGTTGATATTTTGCTCACTTATGTTTTTTTTTTTTTTTAATTAATTTTGATTTCTTAGAATATGGCATAAAAACATGATGTATCTACATGATGTCTGTTTGGCTCCCCTTAAATTTTATCCCCAAGCCAGTGTTCTACCCTATTCTCAGCCCGGCTGTGCAGAGACTGCGTCCCTTGACCCCAGGTCCAAGCTGTACTCTGAGTTCTTGAGATGACTGCACTGCACAGGGCCAGCTGTTCTGCTGTCGAGAATCTCAGTTTTGATATGTCCTATAACTCCACCCTTTGGTTTCAGTTTTTGTCTCAGAGAAGCCCAGAAGAGAATTCTAATTCCCTCTTTTGCATAATAGCCCAAGGACTAGGGAGAGGTAGCCTTCCTATCCTCCCTGTTCCAGACTAAACACTTGAGTTGGCTCCTCTCATGACTTAGATTTGCAGAGGATATGGGTCACATTTGGTTACTCCAAACATGACACATTTTTTTTTTCAATCTCCCATTAAAAATACAATGATAAGATCAAAGGCAAATTCTTGGTTGTGGTTTGGCCAGGGGCTACTGGCCTCCTTCAGCTGTAGCCCAAACCTGTACTGGTTCTGTGGCTCCCCTACTGCTCTTTTAATTCATATTGAACTGTAGCCATTAAGCCCACTTGACCTTTTTGCATGAATTTATATTTGAGTACTGTACTTATATTAATGAGGTTTTTTTGGGGAGGGGCAGGTGGGTACCAGGAATTGAACCCAGGGGTGCTTAACCACTAAGCCACATCTCCAGCCTTTTTATTTTTTATTTTGAGACAGGGTCTCACTAAGTTGCTTAGGGCCTTGCTAAGTTGTTGAGGCTGGGTTTGAACTTGTGATCCTCCTGCCTCAGCTTCCAAGGCCAATGAAATTGCAGGTGTGTGCCATTGCATCTGGCTACACTACTGAATTTTAAAGCCAAATGCATTCTTGGTAAATTGTATGTCATTAGTAACCTTCCATTACTCTAATCTGTACAGATCTTTCATCCATATGTGAACTGTTTCGTCTCTCACCTGGCCAGGTAGAGTGGCATATGGACAGACATGTTTCCTAAGACATTAAGAGACAATACCTCCTCCTTCCTCTTCTTCCACTTCTGTTCTTCTGGTTCAACAAGTCCATTTATAAATATTGCATTGCTTTATCTTGGTGATGATGTTCAAACCACATCCCTGGGCATAAATGAAAACTTCTAGCTCATTTCCCATGCTTGGTTAGTTTAAAGGCAATTATTTGCAGGTGCACTTCTGCATGTTGGCTTAATTGACACTTTCCCTTCTTTATCAAGGGCAATTTCCTTGGGAAATTAACAACTGTTTACACCTGCAGCTGCTCACTCATGCAGATGGCAATCCAGCTGTGGCTTTATAACCCCATCCCCAACTTATCCGAGGGTTAAAAATCAGAATTACATAAGGGCATGTGTTCAGGATGATGGCTCTTCAGAAGGATGTGTTTTCTCATCCCAGAAATCCAATGAGAGAAAAATGAATACCAAGGAAGAATAAAATAATTCACCTGAGGCAGGATCTCATAGTATCCTGGAAGGTCATCAGGATTGACAAGTTGGATCATTTTCTCGTAGGGGTAATTCAGGAAGCAGCGCCCAAAGTCCACCTCTGCATTCACCAATTGGAGCGCAGGTACAACACATCTGCTCGAAGAAACACATTAAACAATTCAAAAATAGCTTGTTTACATACAGAGAATGCAGAGTCCTAAGTTAAATGCATTTGTCACTGTCATATAGAAGTTTTTCTTTAATAAATACATTAATCATTTTCAGATTTTCTCTCCTGTCACCCCTCTCTCCTAGCTCCCAGTCACTATTTTTTTTTTTTTAATCAAAAAAGGAATAGAAGCAGAACTCCTTAGACTGCTGTCTTTGATGGGTAATGACTCAAGCTTCCATTGCTTTTCGACCTGGCTTTCCTTTAGTAAAGGGCCCCATGCTACAAGTTCCTTAGGGTCTGTTCCCATGTTGAGCAGGACTAAAGCCACCAGCATGGGGTCCTAACTAGCTGTGAACTTTGGACCAGCCAGAAAGTCTCCCAAGGACTAGCAACAGCTCACATCATCTAAATAATGGTGATAATTCTAATTCCTAGCAGAACAGCTGTCTGGGGTGTGTAGGCTCAGGCAGCTGCTTGGCCCAGAACTGGCTCTGTGACAGTGGTTCTGATGTGGAGGGGTTGGGCAGGGGGAGAGGAAGGGAGAGCTGTGTGTAGCAGAGAGAGGAAACGAAGCCCTGTGTTTGGAGTTGGTCTATTATTAGTTGACTTGGGTTTATTTTGTGTCTGTAGCTCTCGGTGTCTGACATGCCTTATGTCATTATTGTAACGTACGGTGCAATGGTGAAGAGTACTGGCTTTTCAACTAGACAGAGCCAGGTTCAGTGCTGACCTCACTAAACGCAACCTGTGTCACTCTGGGCCAGGAGCTCTCTCTCATGGAGTCCCACTTCTCTCACAGGTAAAATGAAGGTCATTCTGGGGACTGACACTGGCATTACTAACTCTTCTTTGGTGTCGTGGGGAGCACAGGAGGACATGTGAGTGGAGGGCAGAGCCTCGTGCCAGGTAAGTGCACAGTGAGAGGAAGGGCACCCGTGGTGACAGCATGGCAAGCTGCCACTGTTGGCTCTCTGAGAGAGTCACTTTGGGGAACGAGTTCTAAAAGCAGCTCTTCTGGTGGAGTCAGAGAGCAGTTCCTGCAGATTACACCAAAAGTAACGACATGAAAGTGCCTTTCTTTAACCTCGAAGCTTGTGATTTAGCATGAAACGAGTGTTCATTTTTAGCTAGAATGGAAGTTGTCAGTTGACCCAATGACTCTCTTAAAGCTAATCCTTTGCACCTAATGCTGTGACTCAGAGGGTTGATAATATTTCACTTGGGTCACAGAGTATATGTTAGTAGGAAATTCATAGCCTCTTTAGGCTTTTTTTTTTTTTAAGTCAGGACTTCCTATTGAGAGCTGTAGGGAAAAGGATCTGGAGAGTATAAGAAAAAGCCCACACAGAAAACCAATGCAAGCTAGATTAAAAGGCAAACTCAAATACAGAAAGGACCACATCAAAGGGTTTTGGCTGTTTTCAATCAATCAAACAAAAAAGTTTAGGTCTTGAAAGAATACTAAGTAAGCCAAGGCACCTCAGTGGGTTCCTTCTTCTACCCAGAGGGAAGTCTCATTCTAGTTCTTTCAGGGTTGGAATTTGCCTTCAGTTATGTCCAAGACACACAAAATGGTGCCACTTATTCTCTCCCCACCGACCAGTCATCTGTACCTTCTTTATGGTATATCTTCCTAAGATTTATGAGAGACCTAAATTCTAGAGATTGACAGATTAGCATTATTGGTTTTACTAAGTCAATTTCTCTCTTCTGCATACACAGCATTTCATCCATATACTTTAAAAGTCCCTAATCTGGACACTTTTGCTTTGGGTAAAGTGAGGTCTCATGAGTTTATTTAGGACCATGTCACCATCAGTAGGTGACACTACCTGCTTGGAGCTGGGTCAGGAAGACACAGTCAACAAATGGCAGAGCCAGAGTTTTAACCTGACTCCAGAGCTCCTTGCTGCCTCCCTCAAAAGAGAGAGAAGTTGGTGATGGTCCTGAGGAGTTCTGATTCTAAGAGATGAGCCTTATTTGTGGGGCTCCCTCACAGCCTGCAGGTCAAGTCATGCTTATGGATGTCCAGGAGCAGGAACATGTTGGCTAAAGGTATCTTCCACTGCAGGATAGAGAGCAGTGCCTTCCAGCTGCCTGATTCTGGAGCACTTCATTGGAAGGTGACAATGAAACCAGCAACTCATCTTCCCTTCCTGCTAACCCCTTTTTGCTTACACTCTTTTGACAGTTAGAACCATTGGAGAGCACTTTTTTTTTTTTTTAAACAGGGCCGAACACATGCAACCCTTTGCATCCCCATCAAAGGTGCTTTAGAAACATTTGCTGTTCTAAAGTTTTGTCACTTGGATTCAGTTTCCCTTCCTGGGAAGGCAGAACAAGTCCAGTGCTCACTAGCTGGCAGGCGAGCTGCCTTCTGGGAGGCAGCCCCTTGCTGAGCTCAGAGGGCTCTCTGGAAGAGAGGAAGCAGGTAAGTGATACCTGGCTGTAATTAAGAGCGCCAGCACTTCTTCTCCAATGCCCTCCACATCCACCACCAGTGCCAGCTCATATTTCTTCACAGTGTTGGAGCATAAGGTCACCTGGAAAGGAAAGGTGAAAAGTTGCTGACCTCCACAGTGGGGACAGGAGCTGGGGGAGGACAATGCTCATCACCGGGGTGGGAGGGGATTCTAAGTGCTTTATAGCTGTATAGCACTATATATTTTTAGCTGAAAATGTAATATTGCTGGGTCAGGGGACCCTGGCTATGTTCAAAGGCCAGGTTGGAAACCAAACTTACTTTCAGTACAATAGGTCTGTTCATTTCTGAGCTGGTTTTATCAAAGAAACTACTTGTCCATGCAAGGGAAATGACGACCATGAAGCATGAGAAATGCCAAACAAACTGATCACAGAAATTAAAAGTGTTCCTTATACCTCTCGATTATATGGATTATGACAATTAAATACATTGATTAAAAAAATACAATGAAATTTCTCTTACATTGTAATCAATGAAAATCATCATATGGGTTGCAGAAACTGGCATAAGAAATCAACCCCTTTCCCCTGGCAATATTCACTACCAGAGCAGAAATTGGGAAGCTCCAAAGAAAAGTCCATGTGAGGACGGTATCTAACCAGAACATGTTATCCTATAAACTTATTTGCTGCTATCAAACTTTATATTTAGGCTTTTGAAAGCCTTGTTACAACTTCTAATTGCTTTAAAATGATTTTTGCTGGAAGAGATCCTTGTAAGTCTAGAAGACAGCTTCTTGCATGGGTTAAAGGCTTTTCCATCTATAAATTATGTATTGAGTGTTAATTAAAACTGTTTTGCTTGCAGAGGGAATCACTGGATGCAAATTTGAGTCCACACAGAGCTGGCTGAAGTGCAGATCAGAAGGGAAAATTGAAGCTTAGAGAAAGCTTTTCTGGACATAAAGGAGAAATAGAGTGAAGATGAAGTCAATGGTTTGCAAAGAGAACCCGCTGGATTTGGAGAGCAGCAGAGCATCTTGGGGGTGGCTATGATCCCTTGTTTATACTTCCAGGCTGTGGGTGAGAAGGAAGAAGAGCAAGGGCTTGTGGCAGAGGCTGCAAGAGACATGCTGCATAGTTAAAAAGCTTCCTGTGCCATCTGGCAGAGGCAAAAGGAAAGATAGGTAATATGAGGGATGAGCATTACTAAGTAACAAATAAATCAATCCATTGCAGTAGTACTTTTTTTTTTTTTTAAAACCAGGAGCGTCATAGTTAGCAATCCTGATAAATTGCAATGATGGGTGATACCGTCAAAACTCACTCGACCTCTGGAGAAGCGCATGAAAGAACTGAAAACTCCCAGAAAAGATTCAGGATGAGTGGATGTGAGGTGAGATATTTGAGAAGCATTAAAAAACAAGTTTGGGGAATAAAATGATAGCTGGATTAAATATTCAATGGTAGGAACTAAAGTGAAAATTACCATCTTTAGCTGTGAAGTCTTGATCTTTTTCTTCCCTAGCAAGTATAAAATTGTTTCAGTTTAACACCTTCAATATTTCTAGACCTCACCGGAGAAGCCAAAGTGAGGCAAGATAGCTAAAACCTTTCTCAGTGATCATGAATTAATTCTGCTGTTGGCACGGTGAGACCACAACCAAGGCACTGCACTATCCTGATTTCAAGGGGAAGTCAGGGGTGAATGAGCAGCCTCCTCACTGCTCTCCATGAGTCTACTTCTTTAGCACTGACGGCAACATCACACCCACGTTCACTGTGAGGTCCAGATTCCTATTACAAATCTGAATAAGCTAGCTACCATCTATGCCATAAGTCTGGATATTTATTGGTAGGAAGGACCCAAGTCTGAAGGAAAGGGGAATGTAGCTATTGATGAATTCTTCAAAGGTTTTCATTAGTACTGATGGTATACTACCTATTTAGAGCAATGGTTTCACTAGAAATACCTAGAAGTCACTGTTCTAGCGGAGGCATCTAGATTAATCCGGATCCACCTGGGCCGAGCCCATTTCTTTGCCCAGGGTGTTTGTTTCTGGCTTCTCATGCCACAGTGGTTTACTTCCGGTGGGCCGGATTTCCATGTGACTTCACAGACGCACCCTCCCACTGCCACTGGATACAATAGAGAGCCCTCAGCAAGGTCCTGATGGCTGCTGAAGTTTGGCTGCTGGGCTCTGTGTGCTGGAAGGCTGTGCACTTTACCTTGATAGCAGCATATCCCTGGGAGCGAATGGTGCCACAGTTGGGGGTGATGGTGAATTCTTTCGGTTTCATTGTGAGTATATCTTCATCAGCCCTAGATGGTCTGTTGATTAAATCCTTCTCAGAAAATGCCGTACTTTTGGGGCCAAGGCCATCTCCAGGGACACGCAGTTTGAAGGTCATGGGGATCAAAGACGTGTTATTGAGGGAACAAGTCAAAGTATGAGGAAATCCTGGAAAACAAAATACGAGGTGCCAAATAAAACCCCCTCGTAGCCTCCTTTGGCCATCAACCTCCCCTAGCAGCTCAACTTCTACAATGAATTGTTCACAATTCACAGCTACCTCTACCTTGCCCTAAATATTGTTTTCAGTCACATAATCAACAGATTTCATTCATTCATTATTTACTCATTCATTCATTCAATGAATATTTATTATGCATTTACTATGTAGCCGGTTAAACAGTAGATACAAAACAAACCCCTTGATTGGCACGCCTCTCCAAAGAAGCAACCTCTATTATTTGTTTTCTGAGTTGTGCTGCAGACGTGTATTTTGCATGAATACATATTTTTAGCAGAGACTCATGCTCCTTTCCTAAAAGATATGGATCTTCCTTTCAGCAGGCAATAAAGTGAGCTCTGATTTTGGATTCCCTGGGTGGCCACTGTATCTGTGGATCACTTTCAGAACAATACAAATTTTCTATAATCACAGGAAAACACAGTGCTTGTCTCTACCAGATACAAACCCTGCTCTTCTACCTTGAACCTGGCTGAAAAAAAAATATATATATATATACACACATACGCATATATATTATATATGTTATATATATAATACACACACACACACACACAATGGGTCTCTTGAAGAGTCTTCTCTTGGAACTTCCAGAGGAACTGATAGGAAGTCAGTTTCACAGTGGTAATTATCATATGACTTTTCTGAACATGCCCAGTAATGACTCTTGAAACTAGACATCTTACTCTATGCTACTTGACCAGCTAGGGGTTAAATGTTCTACAAATATAGGGTGGACTAGGAAAAGAAGGTCCTATCAGGAGTCAGATGGGTCTTCAAACCACTACCCAGACTATTTCCCTAGAGCCAGAAGTTTTTCATAGAATAAAGTCAGTTATAACTTCCTAGTTAAAATAATTCCTGGTACTAGTATCTGGAATACCCCACTTGTCAAGAATCCTAAAGAAAGGGTCTATTAGTTGTCAAGGACTGAATTGTTGCTAATAAGAATGCTGTTCTAGGTTTCTGATTATACCCAATCCTAACACCATTCCACCTCTAGTTCTACCTCAGTTGTCGACATCTATGTTCCCTTCAGTTAGTGTCTAGTAGACAAAGAGTCAATATGTATTTGCCTTTTCTTGGAGTAATTAACAACATGACTGATTTAGGGATTCACAGAGGAGTATTATTTAAATACTCCTCCCAGTATTTAAATAATAAATTAGAGGGTAGCATTCTCAGGAGGTTCAATTCTCCTTCCACAGACATATTTTACCTAACCTAAAAAGGCCCCTATGAAGACTTCTTGAAAGAAACTAGCAGGGCTGGGGTTGTAGCTCAGCAGCAGAGCATGTATGAGGCACTGGGTTGGATTCTCAGCACCACATATAAGTACATAAATAAAATAAAGGTCCACTGGCAATAAAATTTAAAAAAACTTATCAGATGGAAATTGTAAGGCTGCACACATACACACAAAAGAACAAAAAATAATTATTTAAAAAGATGATACATGATTTGGAATATGGCCTTGTATTGAAGAATGGACCCTATCTGAAATAGAGTATTTAACTGATGCAGCAACCTGTGAGATGAAAAATTAAATCACAGTGTAGAGACTTTTGGGATCTGTGGAGTATTTTAGATAACGATTCCTAATTTTTCTAGCAAAATAAAAATCTCCACAAAGCAAAGAAAAATGTGTGGTTAGATCATTATGCAAATCAGGTGGCACTTTGTAGTTGTTCACAGAAATAATTCAGAATTTCAGAAATCAATAAACACATATACACAATCCATTTTGGACACATAAGATGTACCCTTGGGTTTAGAAAACCAGCATTGCATATGATGGGGATCTTCTGTCTACTCCTGTGGTCTCTGGCATACTAACTATGCCACCAAATCTGAGATGGTCTTTGGTCAAAATGTTGTATCAAACATCCCAGCATAAAAGAGATAATCTCTGACTAAGAATCAGTGGGAGGCCTGAGGTTGTGGCTCAGTGGTAGAGTGCTTGCCTGGCACAAGTGAGATACTGGGTTGGATCCTCAATACTACATAAAAACAAATAAACAAAATAAAGCCATTGTGTCCATCTATAACTAAAATAAAAAATAAAAAAGAATGTCTATATATTCAAGAAGTCTGCATAGGCTCTCTCTCTCTCTCTCTCTCTCTCTCTCTCTCTCTCTCTCT